TCCTAAGCCAGGTCAGAAGAGTGGTATAACTTAATTATATTGAATAACTTGCAAAAAATCTTTGAAAAATTACTACATAGGCGTATTAAATGGTGGGTCGAAAATAATGGCATCCTCCCTAGTTTTCAGTTCGGATTTCGACGGGGTCATTCGTGTATGAATAGCGTTGCCACTTTGGTGACTCATTAGGAAAAACAACCTGGAGAGAAAATATACGGACGTTCTTTTCCTGGACTTAATAGGAGCATTTGACAACATTGTGCCGGAGGTGCTGTGAGTATTATTGGACAAGTGCGGTATTCCGGGGAAGATTATCTAATATATTAAATCAATGACGCGTAGACGCGACCTGATAGTATATATAGCAGGACTCTCACTGCAAAAAGAAGCACTTCCCGGGCCTTCGATATTGAGCCCGATTTTGTTTAATATATGTGTAGCCTTAATCGAGGTCTGTCTTTCTTTGCCGGTCAACATTTTAATATACGCTGATGACATCGTCCTGTTTTGTTCACATCAGTCGTTGAACAATATTAGCGATCAGCTTAACATAGCCCTGAATGGTAAAACTATTCCTCGGTAAATTGGGATTAGCAATATCTCCTTCTAAGCCCTTTTTTACGATCTTCGCAAATCAAAAAACAAGAAATCTGCGATTATCACTTCGAAGAAGTAATTTCCTATTAAACGCTCTTGGCGAAGACATAGCCTGCTCTTGGTCTCCTAGGTTTCTAGGGATTTATATAGATCCTGAATTCGAATGAAAGTCACACATTAGCAGATTAAGAAATAGAATCATCCCTAGAATTAATGCTTTAAAAGCGATAGCAGGAATTCGTTGGGAAGCGCACCCAACGATCTATTAACAGTAGGTCGGTGCTCGAATGGGGATGTCAGATTTTTCATCCATTATCTCACAAACTTCAACTCAAAATAAATAGGCTACAATTTGTAGCACTAAGAGTGATACTAGGCCTAATGCGCACTACATCTACCAATGTTCTGGATTTACGAAGAACAACCTCTAATCACTAAATGGCAGTTCTTACTAGAAAAATTTCTATGCAGAATATTGGCGCGTACATCACATCCACTATATCTTTTACTGATGGCCTTAAAATCGGCTTATGAAGAAGTCGGACTTCCTCCATCCTTTGGTGTTATGGTGGATACTTTTGTGGGTAATCACAATTTCTTTGATCAAATTGAGAGAAACACTTTACCAGGTTTTCTAAATTATCCATATTGCATTAATCATTTCATCCCAAACATTGACACCGAGTTCGGCTTGGAATGTATCGACTTTAAAAATAGCGGCATTGTGTTAACCTTTGATAAGTTTCTGAAGGAGCAGAATATCGAACTAGCTTTGTACACGGATGGTTCCCGCCAGAGGGAGGGCGAACAGTGTAAAGTGGATTCACGGTGGTATCACCTGAGAATGACATAAATATAAAAAACCGTATTAATAACAATTGCACTATATTTGATGCAGAAGCTTCAGCAATAGAAAAAGCGTTGCAATGTATTCTTAGGAGAAGAGTAACGAGATCAATTATTTTTCAGATGCTCGTAGCGTTCTTACAAGTTTATCCCACCATAAGGTTAACAAAAACACTCATAATATTATCTACAATGCCTAGAAAGGTTAATCTCAATAAGACTGGTTTGGATCCCTGGACACTGTGGAATCCCGGGGAATGAATTGGCGGACTTAGCGGCCAAACAATTTCTGCATCTTTCGAATCCATTCCTCACCTGTAAATGTCATTACACTAATTTATACTCAAAGTTCAAAAATTTGGCAAAAAGTAAAGCAGCTGATATATTACTGAATAAAAACAACTATAAACAGATACTTCAATAGAATTGAAGAACCACTTTTAACACCTTGGTTTATCGAGATTAAAGAAGAATTACCTAGATCAATTATTACTTTAATTTCAAGACTCAGAACTCAACATACCGTTAATACAATATGCACTTATGGGAAAAGCATATAATAGACAATCCGGGCTGCCAATGCAGATTCGAAAGACAAGATGTGAACCATATTTTTTTTCTTTGTCCGGATAATCTATACATTCAATCAAGCTGATCACTAAACTGTTCAAATTTGGTACATTAACTTCATTGGATGTCAATGATATAGTATTTTCTTGTTGCACGAGATTAGTCAAGGCATTGTATGCGTTCGTAAAGGAGGCCGACCTAAACGAATCTCTAGAATCATCTGGGGGTCGATTGTGTAACTTTTTCGAAAAAGTGAAAACGTAAAAAGTGAAAAATTTACACTAATTACGCATTCATTTTCAAATGAAATCGATGTGTAATTGGAAGAAAATTTTCACTTTTCACATTTTTACTTTAGAAAAAGTTACACAATCGACTCCCTGACTGTTATACACAGCACCAGTGACAGTGGGCTGTCCCTTTTCCCCGCGCGCTACTATTCGCGTGGATTGGCCGAACTTTAGTAATTAATTTCTTCTTTATTATTGAGAAAATCGCAAAACAATAAAGGACTTTTTTACTCAGTTTGATCTGTTCTACCTGCACCTGACGGGTAGGGCGCGAGTTACAGAACACCCTGTATACAAGGTGTTTAGTATAAAAGATCTGCATAATTTTTGAAATTTTTCTACAAATATAAAAATGTTTATACAGTAAAAATTAATTTATTTTACGTAATAAAAAATTGGAAAAAAATTTTTATAAAAAAATTAATGTCACCATAAATTTTTTTTTGAAAATAGAATTATATTTTTTATATCCATTAATTCCTTACAATATTCTGCGTTTATATAACGGTAAAATGGTCAAAAAGTGAATAGTTGGGAGACATTTTATACTTTTTAATTTGACATAATCACTTATATAAACTAAACCGAAAATAAGCTTTTTATGTCCTCTGCATAAAAATCCACCGTCGAATATAGATATACGCTTGTCAAACGAATCTTCTAGCAAAATCCTTATTATACATATATTTTTATAAATATATAAATTTAAAGTGTAAGACAGGCAATAAGAGCCAATCGCGGAAGACAGTGCGTTATCCCAACAAAACTAAATTTTTCGTTAGAATTAAATATCTGTGCACAAGGCACCAAATTTTACTTAGTCACGGCCAAGATTTTAAAATATGAAATAATCTCATATTTGAGATTTAATTTCAATAATCCTTTAACCTCCCTACGGAAATAAATAAATGCAAGAGAAAAATATAGATCCGAAAGTCGCTGAATCGGGAATCGAACCCGAGACCTTTCGCTTGCCGGGCGACTGCTCTTCCAACTGAGCTATTCAGATCCTTTCGATTCTATACTTTTTCTCTGCTATATATATAATAATGTTGATAAACAAACGCTTTTAAGCCAGCATGTATAAGTTAAGAGTTTAACAAGGCTCTGTAATATAAATATATAAATTTAAAGTGTAAGACAGGCAATAAGAGCTAATCGCGGATATATTTTTATTATATATATAATTTAATATGGCTACCAAGAAGAAACAGAAACCTTTAAAAAACAATATGCATGCAAATAGTTAGTATATAAGGCTTAACTTTTAATTGCGAAATAATAGGTGTAAAATTATTAAATAAATAATATAAATCATTTTAATATATATTTAATAGTAATTGTGTGTGTGTGTGTGTGTGTGTGTGTGTGTGTGTGTGTGTGTGTGTGTGTGTGTGTGCGTGTGTGTGTGTGTGTGTGTTTGTGTGTGTGTGTGTATAATTTCATATATAACAAGTTTAATTTTGACAATATAGCTTTATCATTGTTTGAATTTATGAACACATGAGAAGTAATTTCACAAACGTTCATTACTTCCAGCATTATAATTTCGTTTATCATTTATTTCTTTTTATTATATCATTATTATTATGGTTACATATAAGCGAAAAAGCAGAATTAAACACGATTGTGCTAACTAATATTGATAAAATTAACTTATTTTTAGAAATGATATCAAGATATTGAATTATGTCTTTAATTTCAATACATTGAAGCATAGACTACATGTATCCTTTCATTTCTTAAAATAATTTCAAAAATTTTAAATAAAATTTTATATACAAACACATTATTTTACATATCTATAACATGCACTATTATATGTAATATAAATTTTCAGCTTGCCCAAATTAATCTAGGATTATGCCAATTATTCTAGAAATGTTAAGAAATATTGTTTTTAAATAAGATTAGTTTTATATTTAAAATATTTTTTTCAATTTAATATCATAAATAAAAATCATTTCGAAATTAATAAAATACAATTATACAAAAAATTATACATTGCAAAAGTATCGCGCGCGCCAAACTCTGCAAATAATCTTTGATCAATTTAAAGTTTAATCAATTTGATTTTTTTCAAAATAATTAACTTTTTACAATGAAATTTTGACAAATATATTCACGTTTATAAATATCTTATATGTTATAAAAAATGTGTAATTAAAGCAAATTAAAGTACAATCAAATAAATTCTAGCAAATTTTTAATAAATTTTAATAAATTTGTATTTCTCCTATTTTAATTTATAATTCATGAGATTTTTAATTTATTCATTTATCTAGAATTATTATTCTTGTATATAAAATATTTATTATATTAGAAAAATATTCAAAATTGATCAAAAATATATAATCTTCTTTTTATAACTAATCTTATTTATTTCTATCTCTTTTAAAGAGATTATATGTATAATATTTAACATAGAAATATTTTAAAAACACATTGTATACTATTATTTCATGTAGAAATATAAAAAATTTTTTCTAATCTGCAAAAAAACATAAATCTAAAGTTTATAATTATTACATTGTAACTAATAAGAAATGCACTATTGATCATATATGCAAAGTGATATATTTGTTACATCTTCTAATACTTTATTATTTGCATTTCTTTATCCAAACATATGCAATTTTCATATTTTTTGTAATTTACATTCTGTTGTATTATTTTTTTATTATTATTTATGTATTATTTATTTACCAACAAACATGAGCTTATTTTGCTATTATTATTATATCTTGTTGTTGTTACAAATCATTTTTTCCTATTTATTTGGATATAGTAATGATATATTAGAATTTTATAAATGTAATAATATGATATACATACTATATATACTAGTCAAACAATGTAAATATGAAAGAAAACATATAAATCCAGTTTGGATAATAGATATAGTTTAGATATGAAATTGTATAAAATATATAATAAAATATATAATAATTAATATTATTATTTTCTTCTGACTAGGATTTCTCCATAGCGGCAAAAGTATATTTTAAGCCTTGCTTTATTCTTCTGATGACTTCTCTTGCTGTTGAATTTCCATATTTTTCGATATCTAAATCATATAATAATAAAATATATTAAAAAAAGAGCAATATAGAAGAAATTAAAATTATTAAATTGATTAGATCAATTCAGAATAATATTAAAATCATAAAATCGATTATATCGAGTCAGAATAAAACATGTAATACACAATAAATAAAGTTAATTAATCAATAATTATGCTTAATAAACAAACTGCATTTTTTCTGCTGATTATATTTTAATTTAATTTAAAAATAATTTTATTTTATTTAAAAATTATAAACAAAAGATTATATTTGCTTGTAATTATTATTGAATTTATAAATAACCAAATAATAAAAATATAATATTATAAATAAACATATTATCCCATTTAAAAAATCTAATTGACTTTATGAAGTACTTGAAGTAAAAAATAATTTCAAATTTAAATTTAAATGGTTACATATAGACATTTTGAAATAAACTTTATAGCAGAAATATTTCAAATATATATATTTAAAAGAATAATATTATTAAAGAAGTGATTATACAATCAAAATAGTGTTAAAGAAAGAATAATTGCTGACATTTATATAGAATTGAATTAACATTATTATGTTACAATATTATAATATTCTCTCTTTTGCAAAATATTAATTATAATACTATAAAATATTATAATCTACCCTTACCTGCTCTAACAATAAGTGTGTAAAACTTTTATTTTTTAATCAAGGAATCTAACCAATACTTCCTTTAAATATTTTTATATCTAATTTATACTTTTTTGAATATTAAAAAATTCAAAGTTATTTGCACATAACATATTTATAATTAACTTTGTTAATGTTTTTATTAATAATATGTATATCACAGTAGAAAGTACATTTTATTTTGTAATCTACTAGTATATATTTATCTGAAACATTATTGTGCGCCTTTGTTAATTTAAAGAATAAATACGAAGTAAAAGTACAAGAGATTTTCATGCGATTAAAAGGTGTAAAAAAATTTTTTTAATTAAAAAAATTTTTTTTAATTTTTTAAATATATAAAAAATATAAAATAAAAATTTGCTTACCAATCTAATCGTCCCACTCATCATCATCAGTGGTATCACTAGTCGAATCTTCGCTTTCGCTATGAATTGCACGAGAACGTTCGGCTAGAGCCCTGGATAACGCATCGGCCAGGCCGCCACGAGGCGCAGGTCCCGTATTCGATTTTACTTCGTTTGGAACAGGTTTCAATTCGATGCCCTCGCGTATTTGCCGGAGTAATTCCCCTCTCGAATCCTCAATCACCGGCGACTTTGTTTCCGTTTTATTAACTTTCTAAAAAGCAAAATTAACATATTATAAAAAAAGACTTTAATGCTTCTTTTTTCACACTAAAATATGAGTTAACAGTTGGAAATGGAAAAATGTAATTCGAAAAGTTTCTTTGTATTTTATATATCTCATTATTCTATTTCCTATTTCATTTCCACAATATTTTAAAATTAATATATTTGACTAATTATATAATTTTACTTGTAACTTTTGCTTAGAAAAGGAGGATATTTTAATCTTTAGAAAGTAAACATATACAAAAGCAAAAAGTATAGCAAAAAATCTTATTTTTTCTAATTTCTAATAAAAATGTGTGTGTGTGTGTGTGTTTGAATGTTTTACAAAATTAAAAGATTCATTATTTATATAGATACTGATCATAATGTACAATTTTGATTCTATATGAAGAACAAAATAGTAATCACAAAAATTCAAATAAATATAGAACAAATTAATTCTTTTATGATAATAAACTAAAATAAGATAAAATATAAATAAATTATAGATAGAATTAAGATAAATTATAAATAGAATAAATGTAGAAAAGAAAAATACAAAAACTAAATATAATTATGTAGAAAGAAATTAAATAGTCAAATATAATTGTTAAAAAAATACAGCCTTTTAAGAGAACATTGAAAATTTTACATACAGCGTAATTTAAATTAAAAATAAATTATTTAATGTAATTTATTTTTTATAAAGTTGATAAATTCGCAATAAAATTAAAAAAATCTATCAGTTGATTTCTCTCTACATAACTATATTAAATTTAGCAAAAAAGTCTAAGAAAAAAATTAATTTGAATACAACAAACTGATTTCTATCCTTCACTTCCATGAGCATATTACGCACCCTTAGAGTTGTACCACTTCTAATAGATTCCATGAGCATCGGTCTAAGATCAACAATGGACTCTTCGTTGTTATTATTGGTAGCGTTGGTGTTGATTGTTATGCTGTTGGTATTATTCGTGTCCGGTAAAGGTGGTGGTGGAGGTATAGAAGTGTTCGAATTGATTCTCGAGGGAAGAGTCGGTGGTGGCGGAGGCGGAGGTGGAGGAAGAGTTGGAAGAACTGTACTTATATTAGGTGGCGGCGGTCTTGATGGTAAGGTTCTGTGCACTGATGGAGCATTAGACACTGTATTCGAAGACGTGTTCACGGGTAAGCTAGGTGGCATGCTTGGTGATGGAGAAGAAGACACGCTCAAACGATTTGGAGGCAAAGGCGGAGCACTTCGTGTTTGATGCTAAAATACATTTGTATAAATAATATTTTTATATTTATTTTAATTATATGTTAAATAGTACATTTTAATATAGAAAATATATTGTAATATATAATATATTATAGTACAGTATAGTATACTATACTATAATATAGTACAGTGCTCGGAATTAGTTGCTCTTTTCGAGCCGATTTCGCGAGCGACGGGGTAGATCTCCCCACTACCGTCGAGGCTCGACGGCGGAGTCGTCGTTACTCCGGGCAACGCTATATCTCAGGAGCGTCGCTAAACATGTTAAGTTGTACCTTCCGCCAAATCGTCATTATTATTACATAATTTATATTTTTGTTAAATAATAACTGAATATTAACTTAATATTAACTTAATATTTAGTTATTATTTAACAAAAATATAAATTATGTAATAATAATGACGATTTGGCGGAAGGTACAACTTAACATGTTTAGCGACGCTCCTGAGATATAGCGTTGCCCGGAGTAACGACGACTCCGCCGTCGAGCCTCGACGGTAGTGGGGAGATCCACCCCGTCGCTCGCGAAATCGGCTCGAAAAGAGCAACTAATTCCGAGCACTGATATAGTACATAACGTAGTATATATAACATATAGTATATGTACATATAGTATATTCAAATAATGCACACTAATATATGTAATATATTATAATATATATATTTATATCAATATATATACTATATATTATAATAATTATAATATACTATAATAATAGTATATTAATATTAAATAATATATGAAATCATATATTAATGTATATTAATATAATACAATATACTATATATATATTATAACTATAATAATAGTATATTAATATAAATATTATATGAAATCGTATATTAATGTATATTAATAATATAATAAAATTGACAGAGAGGATATGTGTGATTTTCTGACTTTCACAATAAATTTCTTTATGCATTATAAAACAACTTGAAATAAAAGACACATTCTTCTTAAATGTACAAATTGAGGAATTGAAACAGTGTCTCAAAGATTTGATATCATTAAAATATACAGAAATATACAGCAAAATATGTGTGATACATATTACCATAGTTAAAATCAGAATAAAACTCACAGGTATTGTTCGCGCTGGAACAGGTGGAGGATATTCTTGTCTTTGCGGAAGAGCGGGAGGCTGATTAGCAGTTTTTACATTAGCCAATGGCCGAATATCCTCTTGCACTGCACTCATACCTCCATTCCTTTCAATAAAATCATAGATAAATTTTCGAGTGCCTTTATCTTGAAGTTCATGTTCCGATACACCAGCATTATTGAAAAATTGTTGTAATTGCGAATCCACAGAATCTAATTCCAAACCTTTATTATTTACATCCCATCCTAAGTGTGCCACATGCCTATAAAAGGGATTAAAATAATTTAAAATCAATATTTTAATTATATTAAAATATACCTCTATAATAGATATGAAACAAAATAAAAATCAATTAAAAAATAACCTCTACCTGAAATTCGAAGGAAGACTGATATCATCTTTTGTTAATTTGCGTTTAAGGTCTTGCTCATTTTTTTTCTTCTTTGTTTTGTACATTGAGCTACTCGAAGCACTTCTATTAACACCAACTGTAGTCGCACCATTCGATAAATTCCCCGGTGAACCTGACGTAATAGCAAAAGATGACGGGCTAGTTTGATTTTTCCAGGATAACATGCCACCAGGTTGCACTTCTTTTGCTTTTCTTTCTTGTCTTCTCTGGCGTTTAGCATTTAATTTACCAAGAAGTATATTTCTATAAAAAAAATATCTGTATTATTCTAGATGCTTCCAGTTTTTTTTTTTGTTTGTAGCGTTATTTATCCCATTAACGTACCTTAATGTAATGGCTTCAGTCTCACTCGCAAAATTAAATGCAGCCATACAATCTTCCGCCTCAAATGTATGAAAATACGACATTGGCGCTTTGTATTCCATTGAATTGTAAACTTCGTGTTCCCACAACATTGCTTTTCTTTGTAAGCAATACAATCGTAAGAAGAAACTACGTCTTGGATTGTCTCTTATCAGAGTTATAATACCTGTACTTTTTTTAATCCAATCTCTATGTAAAGGAGGTTCCGTCAAATATAGTTGTATAACACCAGCTGCTAAGCACTAAAACCAAAAACAAAACATTCTGTATGATAAAAGTATGTTTAAAAAATTATAAAAGTATAAAAAACAAAGTTTTGTTATTAATTAATCATCTAAGTCATAATATCTAATAAAAGTGTTTATAATATTTTTGCTTTTTTTCTCTAATTACTTAAGCTAATTATACATACAATCACTTTGTATAACAACACATAATAATTTATATAAGAATTACCACATTTTTATTTACTGTTCTATTTAAAAATATTACCGGTCTAATATATTGTTTAGAATAATTTAGATACATTATTAAAAATAAAATATATTTTTTGCTTTATTCATATATAAATTATTCATAAATTAAAGCTAGTAAGTTCAAATGGTTGTTTTATATAATTAATGACAACAAAAAAGAATTAAAGTTTTTTTACACCCGACACTTGCTTTGTCATTTTCAATATTATATTCTCAATATATTTAAAAGCAATTGTTCAAAATTGTATGTCAAACTACGTTTTGTTATAAATATGTGAGCATATTTAACTTTAAAATATGCATTTAGTTGCAAAAACATTAATAAAAACTCAAAAATATAATAAATCCGTCAAAAATATTACTGAAGATACACACAAACACATATAAACAGAAAACAAAATTGAAACGAAAAAAAATGTGAAAATCGAATACAATTTTCTTTGGAAAGGATGTATTTTTTGGAACATATCTTTTAGTATAAAAAAAGGAAGCTACCTAAAAATATAAGAGTTATCTAAAATAACTATTAAAATAAATAATAATTAAGTAAATAATATATAATAATAAAATACTAATAAAAATAATAAGTAAATAATAAATAATAATAATAATAAATAATAAAATAATAATAAATAATAAATAATTAATTAAATATATAATCAATTGACGGTATATTAAGTATCCTTATGGGAGTTTTTCCAGTTTGATCACTGGTTGGTGAAATAACGTCTTCAACTTCGTATTGAGGTTATATGACGTCCTATATGTCTTAAGTACCCTTATAAAAAATGGGGGTTATCTCACCTGGCATCGATTTCCTATCAGCTGAAAGACCTGCTCATTTTCCTCCGATTTTAGGAGTATCGTGCCCCTGTGTTTGTCCGTGTTGCCCGATTTCATCTTATCGTCGAATAAGGTTAGAAACGTCAAAAGAGTATTACTCAATTCAAAGTTGTCCCTCTTCTTCAGCACTTAAAACGTTTTCCTCCTTGTCGTCGTTAAATCAACTCTCATTGATCCATCCATTCGCGAAATCGTGAACGCACAATGACACGAGAGACTCGGCGAAATAAAAAGAAAAAAAAAGACAGATATCTTCAAATGAATGTACGAATAAATGAAGAGACTCCCAGATGAATCAAGCTCCTTCGCTCTTCAATGACAAATACCGTTCCACCCAAAAATCCAGCAGCGGAAGATATCGACTGACAGAAGTCGCGAAATAGATAGGTTAGGCATAAACTATAGTCGTGTGTCACGTCCAGACGACGGTTCTTTTCTCTTCCTACGCCTAGGCTAGGGAGAAAAGAGGGCGCTTTCTATTTTTTGCGGGGCAACCTGCTTACACCGGCTATATCCCAAACCAGAGAGAAGAATGAGAGAGGCCACGCCGCCGTTTTTCGTCAAACGCTTTTTCTAGGCTGCTCACTAGCGTCACGTACATCCATTTTACGAGCGTCTGGAACTACATGGCCACATCCACTTTCGATGTCGGTAAAAGAGCCAAATTTAGTTCATGTCCGTGCTACATCCACAATTGATAGACCAGAATACGACGAAGATCAGAGTTCAAGACCATATGTTTTCTTTTTTTTTTTTTTTTTTCAGAATTGTAAATGAATAAAAAATAAGAAATAATAAATCAATTGTATTTATAAAATATTTTCAATAATTTATATTCATTTACAAAAATAACATCCCTGAAAATTAAATTGATTGCACAAAAAATATAAAAAATAAGAAAATAAATATTGAAAATAAAATAAATATATTTGTATAAAAATAACAAAAAATTAACATAATATTATAAAATAAAAATAATAAAAAAAATAAAACTTATGGAAAATAATTTATCATAAAAAAAATTTCTAATAATATATATTTAAATAAAATTAAATGAATAATTAAATATACTTTAAACTTTAAATTATACAAAAATTGTTATATAATATAATATATGTATATTAATATTTTTTATTTAATACGTATACCACGTGTACAAAAATGTATATATATATATATATAAGGTGTCCCGAATTTTGCGAATTAAAGTACCATAAAAAGAAAGTTTCTCGAAAAAGTAAATTAAAAAAATTTTTACCATTTTTCATTCCAAACAGTATTTTTTGAGGTAAAAAGATTTAAAATTGGCCAATTACAGAATACGATTAAACGGACGCCTATCCGTGAGTCGATTATGTTATATCCTAATAGCACAACATATCCGAAAGATATTCAGAGGATATCCAGAGGACATTCGAACATCCTCAGAATGTTCTCTGAACGTTTTTAGGATATGTGTGCTGTTTGGGTAGTGACCATGCACTTTACGCACTTCAAGTGTCCATTAAATCGTAATCTATAATTGGCCAATTTAAAATTTTTTTACCTCAAAAATTTTATTGTTTAGAATAAGAAATAGCTTAAACTTTTTAATTTATTTTAAAGAACTTTTTTGCTATACTATTTTGACTCGCGAATTTCGGAATCCTGTATATATCAGTTTTTTTTTTTGTAGGAAGGGAAAAATGCATTATGCATTTCCCATCGGCCGTCCGACGGGGGTATGTGGGACTCTCACCCACTAAAAAACCCTCCGCTCTAAAAAAAAAGCTGTAATTAAAAGTATTCATTATTATAAAACATATATTTTGTGAAAAAAGATATTGTTAAATAATTTGTATTTAATCATATTTACTATGTTAACGTGGAACGTATGTTTAAAAAATTAATAATATATTGTAATTAAAGATTTAGGTACATATGTGTATATGTATTTTAGTTGGCATTTAGATATGCATGACGTAAAGATTGCAATCACAGTTGAAATAATTACATAAATCGCTCAAACTAACAGGTCTTATCACGGGAAATCTACATATAATATAGATTTTCTATAACTAAAAGAATCAGTTATATATTTTGATGTCTTTTGTTATCTATTTCTGTTAAGGCGTCTTATTATTGTAAGTGATTTGTCAAAATCACTTACTGTATACTATATTATTAACGGTATTCATATGTATCTTCTATGATTATATTAGAATACCGTATGCCAACAAATACATATACGATAGATTTCATTTATTGTACCGTGTTACTGTACTTTCTTAAAATTTTATTATTATATATATCTCGTGTTATATGTCATTAGTAATCAGAAAATACATGATTTTACAATTTCTTAGCATGATTGCATAAAAATATTTTATTTAGTCCGTGATTAAACCTGCTAGTTAACGATTTATGTAATTTGTTTCAACTGTGATTGCAATCTTCTAAGAAATTGAAAAATTCATGCTTATTTTTCTCATTACAGGAAAATAATACTCATTACTAAATGTAACATGATTTGCAAACATATTTTAATGAATGTAATTTCATGATACACAGTATAAATATTTCTTTTCAATGACAAAATTATGCAAGATATATATAACAATAAAAAAATGAAGAAATTTTTTTCAAAATTACAAAATAAAGAAATTATATTATTTTATAGAAAATACTCATATTAAAAAATAATTCTTTTTCTAGATAATTTTTACTACGTTCCACGTTATTTTATGTTTTTTCTATTCCTTGCATTAATTTTTTTAAATATTAAAATTAATAAATATTAATATATTATTATATATATATAAAATAATATAAGATGTATATATTAATATTAATTACTATTAATTAATAATAAAATAATATAAAATAAATATAAATATAAAATATTTAATAAATAAATGTATAAAATATTTATAAAATTTATTAAATAAATTTTATATAAAATTCTTAAATATTTTTTTTTTAATGAATTATTAATAATGATATTATTTTAGACCTTTGTGGTTTTTCTTTCTTCATATCATTTTTTTCTTATTTGTAATTAATATAATAGTGCTCAAGATGATCTTACATTTAGTATCCTTTATTTTTTACTTTTCTTATATATACTTTTATTTATTTATAAATCTCTTAACTTTTTTGTATGATGCACTAACTACTTTGGCAGTACGATTGTTATATCTCGTACGGGAATATATTTTTACAGTAATCATGTATTTTAATGCTTGCATCCGATGATTATAACATTCGTTATTTTTATCTAACCAATCTGGATGAATTTGATTCGTTGCATGTACACATTCCGTCACTATTTTTTCAAGCATCTGTGTGGATGACCAATGGCTTTGCCATGTACAATTAAACGCCATTAATTGCGTTTTAGTAATATTTGTGTATAGAGTTGTTGGTCGTACTAATTTTGTTACTGTTGGAGCATCTTCATCTGTATTTGGATATTCACGAAATTCTATATATTTTTCATTTGCTGCAGGTTCATCCATTGGTGTTTTCATCATTGCGTTGCGGCAATCGTCACAGTTACTTTTAGCAATACTTCGCCGTGCCACAAATCCGGCAAAAAATGCAATGGCATTTTCATCGTAATTGCTATCAATCGGATTTATATTATCAATTTGTTCGATATTATATTCTTCGAGAAGAATTCTAACATCTTCGTCAAGCAATTCACTTTCATGTTCAATATATTCTACAGTCGCATTGCTCGTATTCATGACATTTTTCTATTGTCTTAACAAGTCGACTTGGTCGATTAATAAGAGTTACACCTTCTGTACATTGAACATTGCCCTTGTCGCTAGTCTGAATATATCCTGTGGAAAGTATATGTCTGATAGATAATCGGATCATTCTTGCGGTTGGATTTGGATTAAAACCTCCGCGTTGTCTCAATTTAGAAAACAAATGTTCGACAGAATCCTGATTACACAATCCTGTCGCAAGTTCAAATCCTTCGTATTGATTTGCAAGTTTTTTATAAGTTGCAAGAATAGCTCGTATAGTTAATGGAAAACCTTTGAAACAAGGAATTTGAACTAGATTTTCCGCCGATTTTGACCATCTTGAGCACCATTCGATAGAATCTGTTAACAGATTTTCAATATCTGAATTTCTGAAGGATAATGGTCGTTTTCCGCCAAATGTAATATTAAGGCTGTAACTGTTACAAGCATCAATAATATTATTTAAGCGTGTTGCAAAGTCAGCTGTAGCTTCCCACGTACTCGTATTTAATTCTTTTGCATTACCAGCTGTTCTTATTGCAGCTGCAAATGTGTGACTAAATAATTGAAAAACTCTTTTAACATTCATCGCTTCGAAATTATTTGGACGAATATGTGCTTCTGTTATATGGGATAATAAATTTGAGCCTCCTTTTGTGGCATTGTCAATATACCAAGTCATTTCAAAATCTGAATACGATGCGATTATTTTTCCATCACAATAAATGTTTTTGTGCGTTCTAAGAAAACTTGCCAATCTTTTTACCAGATGAGGAAAATCAAAAGATGCGTTATATTTTTTTCCATTATGTATAAAACATGGCCTCTGTGCATCAATACCGAGTTCACTATACGCACTTTGATTACATGTGCCTTGATCACATGTTAAAAGTTGCACATCAGCACCCGTTGTACTCAATCTGTCTAAACATTCTTTTAATAATATTATTATTTCTTCTGCTTTCATGCATTTTCCCGGAAGGAAATATGCTAAAGGCTGTCGCCATGGGTGACGCGCATTTAAACTGTCTAGGCAAAAGACAAATACGCATTTAGATCTTTCTGATTTTCTTCCTAGAGGACCAAGATCGACAAGACCTTCTATTTCATCTAATTTTTGCGAATATTCTTCATAAGGTTTTATGGCCATTTCGTCCCATTTTAAGGCACACACTCTTTCCTCTACTGGTAAATAAGAAATCTTTTCCTTTAATTTTTGAAAAATAAAATCACAAAATCCTGGCCGTACGTCATATTCTTCCAGCCATCTTCTAATAGTTCGTTGCCCTGGAAAATTGCAACCTGCTTTTCTTAAGCGGCAGAAAGCAGCAGGTGAATAATAATATAGTTGTCTTGACAGATTTTTCTCTTCTTCTGTATATGCTGCATTGCGTTTATGCAGTTGCAAATTTATCATCGCCTTCGCAACAGGATTTAGATCTTGTTCGTCTACCAATTTGTTTAATATTATTTTCTTTTGTTTATCTTTTTTTGACGTTTTACGTTTTTGTGGAATATGACGTAAACGATATTTCAGATATCTTACTTGTCTTCGCAATCGTATATTTTCAGATTTTAGATATTTAACTTTTGCACATAACTTATGTATTATTTCATTTTTTGTATTTGTTTCTGTACTATTTTTAGTACTTCTTGTATTATTGCACGGAGGAAACAGAACTTTTTCATGTATTGATGGCTCAAGATGCGCCGATTCTATTATATTTGTATTGTTATTATTATTATTATTATTATTATTAGACGGAGGAGGCGTAAGAACTCTTTGATGCATAGATGGCTCAATGTGCATCCATTCCATTATATCTTCATTTTCTATGGAAGAATTAAAATCTAAATGTCGTGGCTGATAGCATCGCAATGAATTTGTTCGTTGTTCAAAAGTTTGTGATTCTGGATGCTCGTCTATTACATTTTCATTAACAACAGTAGACGTAGATGATGTAGTAGATGTTGATACAATATTCTTTATACTTTGTTCTTCTTGTAAATAAAGC